GTTGTAGTTTAGATCTTTAGAAATCAAGAAATTCAACCTTCATCGTCTACTGGTTGACCAGCATTTCATTAGACTATGATTTTCTACTACTTGTCTCTGGGCTAAAAGAAATAGAATGTTGAAACGATATTATGATTATTATTTGAAGGTATCCTGACCAACAATGGACTGGATGGTTTGAATTATGATTATTATTATTATTATTATTATTACTATTATTATTATTGGTAGTAGTAGTATTTGTCTCTTGGTTTCCTAGTCGAACATAGAGCTTCAGTAGCACGTCACCATTTCACTCTGTTCTCTCCAGTGTTTTGAACCTGGCTCCCCGATTGCCAATAAGTTTTCATTTCTTCACACTATCTCCTCCATGTCACCCTTGGACGCCCAACCCGTCGTTTCCCATTGAAATGACCTGTTAGTAGTGATCAATAGAGTCAGGTAATCGTTGAGAAACGGAAGGATTCTCAGTTTATGGTAAGAATCCTCCAAACATCTGTCCACCCCACTAGCTGACCAATTTCTATACGCTTTGAATTATTCAGCTCTCTAAGGTGGATCAATCTGGATCCACAGCTGATGAAATCAGTCACAAATGAATGAAACAGTCATTCACCGAAAAACACTGCTGATTCTACGCAAGATTTTCAATCTACTATTCTGAAAACTAGTCAACTCTATTTTAGCCTGCTATTGTTTTTATTTACTCAGAAATTATTCAGCTATTACCATTTTTTTACAAGCTTTTTATGACGCATTAATTGTTCTCTCTAGTTGAGAACTATCTAGCTTCCTACTCAAAATGAAACGCAGACATATGGTTGTCATTATAGATGTTATACGGTGCACAAGTGCGTAGACTAAGCCGTACAGAGAGACACTTTCGCAATTCCAATCGGACGAACAGATAGCCGTTTACATCTGAACGATACAAATTTCAGACATAAAGATAGACTTTATTTGATATAGCATCAGCTGATCACAACTTTACAGTGAACACACATCGGCCATATTCCCATCAGTTATTATTGGAGGGAGTCGATGGAAGATTGTTGCTGCTTTTAGAGCTCACGTAGTGTTCCAAACAGGCATATATCTGCGCCTAGAACTGACTGATTGACAAAATCAACGTAGAACCTCTCACACGGGTGCATCCATTCAAGTTGCCACACTTCACAGTATTACACAAAGAGCAGATGGATAGAATAAGGCTGATATCAAAGTAGGCAAAGTTCTGAGAGACAGTGAGCTATTTAAAAATGAAGGTAAGTGCCAAGATTCCAGCTTAAGTAGACGTCTAAGAACGAATACATCTGCCCCATTGTTGCCAATTTTCATTCATTTCACCAAGAGTCTGTTGTCTCGGGGACCCCAACCAAATAGTCTAAATCTCTTCACAGGACTCAGACCAACAGTTAGGAACTTCGACTGGTACCACGTCTTGGTTGGGTCACCCTGAATCCTCTTCTAACAGAACCCAGCTTCCCCGTAGCATGCTACGTTGAGGTAGGCAGTGGCTCGGCATGCGCAAAACCTGTACAAGCCATTTTAGTCGATTAAGGTTCTCAACCTCATCAATAGACTTGCCTATCTTGCCACCGAGTACCCTTCACCTGACATCAGCATTGCTCAAACATAGTGATTCTACCAGAGATGAGCGATGCTACGAAGACACCAATAATCGAAAACCTGTAACCGCTTCTTGTCTCACAGCCATACAACGGGACAGTATACTTATTCTTTGATAGATAATTGGATATCTCACCATTCGGTGCCACCGATGATGCAAATTGGAAAACGCCAAACGGGCCTTCTGTATCCAATCTAAGATTTTGTCATGAAAGTAGGAAAACCGTGTCTGTCGTCTATCTTCACACAATGAGGTACATAGAAAGTCATAATCCTGTTATAGTGTTCAAGTTATTAACTCAATCATACGTTAGAAATATATTAGTCTGTTGCTATTATTCCAATCTTCTACCTAAAAACATTAACCAAATACATGTCACAGGAAAGAACTACAAATTAAATCGATGATTGGTTCTTTTTATCGATTTATTATTTATTTATTTATTTTGTATACATAATATAAATGTGAATTAAGTTTAGTCACTTAATGTTTATCAGATAACCAGTAAGTTGGTAGGTAATATTGAGCAAAGGTCAGTAAAAAGATGATCACTGCCAAACTTCTGCCTTTTGTACCATATTATTATTGATTTATCTTTCCCTTGGGTTCCTAGTGGAACATAGGGCTTCAGTAGCACACCTCCATTTCACTCTGCTCTCTGCAGTCTTTTCAACTTGGCTTCATCACTGCCCAACAGCTTTCATTTTTTCCTCACATCATTTCTTCCATGTCATCCTCCCCTCGGACACCCAACTCGTCGCTTCCCATCGGGGTTCCACTCGAGTGCCTGGTGTGGCGCATGATGTCTCCAGTCGGCCTTCTCAGTGTATGTCAATTCAATCCATCTCCACTTCCTTCCAGTGCATATTTGTTGTGTGATAGGTTCTTGGTTGGTTCACTGCCAGCCGGCCAGAGTTCCTTGTTGCTTATTCTTTCTGGCCATCCATCTGATAGAGTATGGAATTTTCAGCATAGAATATTTCGACAAATTCGCTTTCCGTACAACATTTTTATAAGAAACAATTATTATATCTGTATAGTGTTAATAATAACAGTATTGAAGGTATAAGTGGGAAACGAGCAGCTAGTGTTACATTAAGATCCGTTCTTGATTCAGGAATTAACACGAAACCGAGTATTATTTAATGGTGATAGTTCAGTAGTCAGCCAGCCAGCACAGAAATTCACAATCTGATACAAGTAGGTTCGATCACCACCTGCAACTTGTCCAGAAATACCACCACCAGCCCAGCCCCAGAACTATCAGTGAACACAAGCCCTCCGACAAAAGCAGAAGTCCCGAACTCCATAAAGTTACTGAAAGCCGGGAAAGCAGCAGGAGCAGATAGAATTCCGCCAGAAGCAGTGAAAACAGATGCAGGGACAACAGCGGGCACGCTCACACCACTATTGCGGATGATTTGAAAGGAAGGAAGGAAAGGTACCTGCCGAGTTGTAGAAAGGCTACCTTGTCAAACTCCCAAACAAGGGAGGCCTAAGTATCTGCAAGAACTGGCACGGATTCATGCTCTTGTTCAACCCAAGCAAAGTGTTAAGTCATATCATCCTGGAGAGACTAAACAATGCGCTGGATTCAAAATTAGGACCCGAACAGGCTGGATGGCTGGCTTCACGAAAAACGAATCATATGTCGATCAAATTGCAACGCTACACTACGCATCATCATAGAACAGAGCCTAGAATGCCAGTCATTTGGATCTCTACCTCAGCTTCATCGACTTTCAAAAGGCTTTCGATAGCGTCAACCGAAAATTCATTTGGGAGCTGGTTCAACACTATAGTTTTAGTGCCACAAACCTATATGATGAGGCTACATGCCGAATGATTCACAATGGAAAGCTCAGTGATGTTTTTGAAATGAAGTGAAGACAGGGGACAGGAGTAAGACAAGACAAGGTTGCCGCCTACTATCATCTATCATCTCATTGTGGTCGAGCCGACTGCACTGGATTGGATCATGCAACGAACTGTGAGGAGTGAGAAGAAAGGCATATTCTGTTTGACCGATGGAAAGACCCCAGAAGAAGATTTGGATTTCGCCGATGACGATTTATGTCTACTGTCTTATGTCGTACAAACTCGAATATGTACAGGCGAGAACTAACAAGTTGGCAGAAAAGGTGAGAAGAGGCCTGGCAGCCAAGGAAGACGGGACTTCCTTCAGGTGAACGTAGAGAAGATAGAGGTGATGAAGATACCCAACTAACAACCACAACAACAACAGCAAGCACGAATCATCACCCACCTACCTGCCTAGGAGGCAGCATCGTTTCAACTACGGGCGGCACAGTCACAAATGAGGATATCAAAGCCAGCCAGGATCGAAAGGCCAGCAAGACAGGTCTTCCTTCATTAATCTGAAATCAGTGTAGAGATCTACTGCACTCAGCATAAAGTGTGAACAAGACCCGGATTTTCAACAGCACTAATGTCAGTCAAGTAAGTCAGCGCTTCCATGTGATGGTTGAGAGACTTGGTGCGTTATGAGAAGCATTTCCAACAAACTACAGACATTCACCAACAGCTGTCCGCTCTGACTCGATACTGAAGATGGAGATCAGATGGATGGCCAGAAAGAATTATCAACAAGGAACTCTAACAACAAAGCAAGAACCTATCACCCGACAAATATGCAGAAGGAAGTGGAGATGGATTGGACATACACTGAGAAGACCATTGAAGAACATCTCGCGTCAGGCCAGACCCTCATGTGGAAACCAAATGGAAAACGACGAGTTGGTCCTCCAAGGGTGACATGGAGGTGATGATATGAGGAAGAAATGAAAGGTTATGGGCAGTTGGGGAGCCAGGTTAGGAGGACTGCAGAGAAGAGAGTGAAATGGCAACGTGCTACTGAAGCTTTATATTTCACTAGGAACATTAAGGACAAATAAAAATAATAATACAGGTAGGTATCCTAGGCATAGTAATGCGGTGTTTTTCTTTTGTTCTCATGTTCTTAGCTTGAGAAATGAGAGTTCGAAAACATTTTAAAATTGTCCAAGAGTAGATAATGTGTTCAAAAAACATTTAAAAGTTTAAAATAAACTCAAAGGATCTTCGTTGTATTTTGTTCTCTGAGGAGCTGGGTTGTTTAATCGATTAAACAACCCAGCTCCTCAGAGAACACAATACAACCAAGACCATCCAACTGAGCTATAAATATTCTCCATTATTTCAAAACTCAAAGGGTAGAGTTTGATGGAATATAACTGATGGTAGCCTGAAATTCAAGCAAACCGCCTAAATACCTATAAGCCACTATATATATATATATATATATATATATATATATATATATATATATATATATATATATATACTCAATTTGTATTAATTTTTTTATTAGGCGCTGCACTTGGTCCCTTATTATGTGGTCTATTAAAGCCATATGGATGGTCTGTTATTATTATTATGCTTATGGTAGCTTTGGCTTTCGCAGCTATTGTAAGTCACATACTCTCAACTGCACAGTGTTGAGTCCAATTATTATTATTATTATTCTATCACCCATGATATTCTTGATTGTGGTTGACTGGATCATGCAACAAACAGTGAGGAGCGAAAAGATGGAGATACGCTGGACCGTGAAAAACATCCTAGAAGACTTGGATTTCGCCAGTGATGACTTGTATCTGATGTCATACAAACAGGCGAAAACTAACAAGTTGACAGAAGCGGCGAGGCAGCGAAGACGGGACTTCAAGTGAATATAGAGAAGACAGAGGTGATGAAGATACCCAACCAACAGCAACAACAACAAACTCCAATCACCATGAAAGGAGAAACTTAAAGGAAGTAACCTCCTTCACCTATCTAGGAAGCACTGTTTCAACTACTGGTGGCGGTACAGACGATGATGTCAAAGTCAGAATCGGAAAAGTAAGACAGGCGTTCATTAACCTGAAACCAGTGTGGAGATCTTCTACACTCAACATGTGGAACAACATCCGAATTTCCACACCAACGTCAAATCAGTGCTCCTGTATGGTTGAGAGACTTGGTGCGTTACGAAAGGGATTTCCAACAAACTACAGACATTCATCAACAACTGCCTACACTCACTCTTTACTGAAGCTCAGATGGATGGCCAGAATAATGAGAATAAGCAACAAGGAACTCTGGCTGGCAGGCTGGCAACGAATCAAGAAACTATCACTCAACAAAAATGCACTGGAAGGGAGTGTAAATGGATTGAATTGGCATACACTGAGAAGGTCGACTGGGAACACCACGCGCCACACCAGGCACTCGAGTGGAACGCAGATGGGAAGCGACGAGTTGGGTGTCCGAGGCTAGGGTGACATAGAGGAGATCGTGCTAGGAGGAAATGAGAGTTTGTGGGCTGTCGTGGAGGCAGGTTGAAAAGATTTCAGAGAAGAGAGTGGAATGGAGACGTGCTACTGAATCCGTATGTTCCATTAGGAACCCAAGGGATATATTATTATTATTACTCATTTGTTTTAGTTTATTCTAACAAAAGTTGACCGTTGAACTATTGATCAATAGTGCTATTCTATTATCGAATCAGGCAGTAATATGAACTTTTTGGTTTCATATGAATTAATACTATAGTGTATTCATTGTATTTCGGATTCTCAGAGACAATGTGTTATTGAAACCTCCTTAGACCTCTGAGTTTTGTTTATATTGTCAGTGTTATCTAAGTATTTATATTGACTTTTCGGCTATTCGGATCTCTTTAAAAGTATCTAGTGTTACTAGTATAATACTTTAGTTGGAAATGACCTTCTATGCAAGAAAATGATGTGCCAATATGCATTGAATAGTTCTACTCTGTGAATTGAAAGTAATACCCTTTAGACGGTAACAGTAGTTAATAATTTTGGAATGGGGAGTGTATCTCATCCTTAGGTTTTAATAGTAATAGGTTACGCAACAGAGATGTAATGATAGTAACGAATGCCGGTGAAAATTCACTTCAGTTGGATGATTCAATCTGGAGACTTGTAAGGAATTATTTATTGATTCCCCGTTGATATTCATCATGGAAATGTGGACCTAGTGGATGGCTGAGGAACCTAGAGAGCGGGGTCATTGGTGCACAGTGCTGAAGAGACGAGACAGATGTCCAGTCCCCCTAGGCTTCCAATGATTCTCTATCCGATGCCAATCCACGATAAATATCAAATCGAAATCAATAAGTCCCCTCAAACCTCCAAATTGAATTGATCCAGTGCTCATTACTGACTTGCTTTGAGATGAGATTCCTGAAGTTCTAATCAGAAGTCATAGCCGGTGAACCCAGTCAAGTCGAACTTGCGGACATTAGGAGAAGGTCGTGAAAACAGGAGTAAGATAAGGCTGCCTACTATCACCCATGATCTTCCTGATTGTGGTGGACTGGATCATGCAACAAACTGTGAGGAGCGAGAAGATGAGCATACGCTGGACCTATGAAAAGACCCTAGGAGAAGATTTGGATTTAGCTGATGATTTATGTTTAATGTCCCACAAACTCGAAGATCTACAGACAAAAACCAACAAGTTGATGGAACAGGCAGCGAAAACGGGACTTCAAATGAATGTAGAGAAGACGGAGGTGATGAAGATATTCAACCAACAACAGCAACAACAACAATCGCCAACCGTTAGCGGGAGAACTCTGAAGGAAGTAGCCTCTTTCACCTAACTAGGCAGCACTGTTTCAACTACAGGCGGTGGTACAGACGAGGACGTCAAATCCAGCCAGGATAGGAAAGACAGCAAGACAGGCGTTCATTAGCCTGAAATCAGTGTGGAGATCTTCCACCCTCAGCATGTGGAACAAGATCCGGATTTTCAACACCAATTCAATCAAGTCAGTGCTGTTATATGGTTGAGAAACTTGCTGTGTCACGAAAAGTATTTCCAACAAACTACAGACATTCACCAACAGCTGCCGTCTACGCTCGCTCGTTACTGAAGATCAGATGGATGGCCAGAAAGAATAAGCAACAAGGAACTCTGGCTGCCAACGAAGCAAGAACCTATCGCTCAACAGATATGCAGAAGGAAATGGAGATGGATTGGACATACATTGAGAGAAGGCTGACTGGGGACCACACGCTCCAGGCCAGGCACTCGAGTGGAAAGCGAATGGGAAATAATGAGTTGGGTGTCCGAGGGGAGGATGACATGGAGGAAATGATGTGAGGAAAAAATGAAAGCTGTTGGACAGTGATGGAGCCAAGTTGAAAAGACTGCAGAGAGCAGAGTGAAATGGAGGTGTGCTACTGAATCCCTATGCTCCACTAGAAATCTAAGGGAAAGATAATAATAATTTATCGTGAATTGACAGAAGTAGCAAATGTGAAGTCCAATGGCTGAATGGTAACATACTGGCCGCGGAACTTGAAGTTCATGGATTCAATCCTTGGCGGGGTGGGAGTAATGGGTGCGCACTGGTGAGGAGTCCCATGTCAGGTACAAACATCCGTCCAATACGCCTGTGTTCCCAGTCCATGATAAATTTCAACCTTAAATAAATAGGAGAGTAGTCAACGTGTAAGCAAAGAGAATCATATAAAAAAAAATCTATTTACACCGTAGAGTACTCAGTTTTAGTTATAATCATCAAATGGCATTCTCTTCACATCTAACTATGCGTGTGTTTTTTTTCCTTTCAATTTAGCTCTTGTTCCGTATTGTAGCCAATGAAAGTCGTCAGTGTTGCCTTCGTAATCACCACACTTCATCATCAATTACTGTTAGTGCATAAACTGATTATTTCATTTTTCTTACGTTATGATCACAAAAGAAAATTCGAAACAATATGAACTGCTACTGTTTACTCTGTTGATTCAAAGTTGATTTTTACTCAGTTTGTTATTTATTTATTTTTTTGATAAAAATGTTAATATTCTTCGAAGAATGTATTTACTTGTTTGCTCAGCTTAAATTTTAACTGGCCAACGTATGGATATCAAGTCTGATACCATCGTCAAACTCATTAGAAGAGATTGGAATTCCTAACTGAGAATCCTCATTACACACGAATAATTATTATTACTATTATTCTTTATGACTTTTTGCGCAAATTTTCGATTTCCTTCTTCTTTTTGGGACTTTCAAATCTATGATCCTTTGGTTACATTAACTTCTTATTCGTTTAGTATGTAACTGCTTGAAATATTGTTTTCATGTTCAAACTCCTAGCCATCATCTTCTTCTGTCTACTCATCATTTTAGATTAACAAGGGTGAATAAGCGTGTACTACATTTTTTACTGTGTGCAAAATCTTTTATAAACTTCAATACTCACATGTCTTCGGCGCCCTTCGCTTCCTTTCTATCTAACATGTCGTTTAATTGTTTCCTACACCTTCATAATTATATCCTTCATTAGTATTGGGTCAAACCTGTTCTTGATTAATTAGTTGATTGATTGATTGATTGGATTAGTTAAAAAGAAATTGTATTATTTTGTTTTGTACCGATAAAGTGACTATAAAAACCATCCTAGCAACTGATGAAATAACCAATCACGTTTCTCTACAGTTATTGTTGTTCGCTATTTAGGACTTCTTGTTTCTATAAAAGTGTCCAACAACAACTGATACCCGTTGCACAAGAGATCGCTATAATGCCCTAGTGTATAGTACTTTGGTGTTTGAAGCGATGAGTACGCGGTTCGAGTCCCATTGTGAACAGCACACTCACTGGGGTCCCGAATAGGGTGAAACACGCGTTCGAGATTTCACTGCTAGTCACCAAGATGAATATAACCAGTTGGTAGTCTTGTTACTTCTGTATTGAGTTGGACAGAGTTTCTATAAGTTATGTTCATGAATGACGAAGATAATCACTGATTGGGTGCGGAGACTGTAGATTTGACATGGGTTACAAGCGTCGTCCCATAGGCTTTCTTATCGTTTATTGCTAACTTGTTTTGATACTGAGTGCAAGAAGCACAGAGATGGCTCTGTATGATCATGTATATTCGTTCTACATTTATGTCCTTTGATCTCTCTCTATATCTTTGATGGGGAACTAAAGGTCACGCAAATTACTGGCTTGAAACTTTAGAAGATATGGTTTAGAACTGAAACCATTGATGATCACTTTGCCTACGAGCTTAGCAGACTACGTACAAATAACGCACAAACAAATCGACTCTAACGTAAATGAGGACGTTAACCACCGCAACAACAATACCACCGACGCGCGAACACAAGAAGAGAAGACAGACCGTTGACAGAGAGCTCTCCACTGTCTCGATAACAGTCAATGCAGTCGACAGCAACGCTGAATATACACGTTTCCAAATGACCCTAACAACACAGAATCCACATAGTTAATAACCAATAAGAGTTCAGCCTTGAGTGGACAGCGAAGAAAGTGAGTAATTTTAAGGTCATAGATGTATATCTTCTATTACGTGGTGCTTTAAATAACGTATCCAATGAAAAGGCAGCATAAAATCAATAGTTGCGATCACTTGAAGGTCATTTATGTTGACAGAAGTTTCATTGGTTAATCATTATCTATCCATCGATTAAAACAGTTTAAAAGTAGATTGAAATTACTCGCGGGATAATCAAAACATGAGTAAGTTAAACATTTCATACAACCATCTATCTGTATAAACTCAAGAGTAATTTTTACAATTTAATGAAATAAAAATGAATACAATTTTATGTTTAAGATATTATTATAATTACATCATGAGAAAGTAAACTCAAAAGTTGTATATTGTACTTAACTTGTTCCTGCGAAACTGACAACATCGGTCCTACTGTGGCACAGCTTATGCAACGCGCTCCCGAACACTATTCAACTTGACTGACAACAGTAGAATGAAACTGCATCCTCAGCTCTATAACAGAACACTTAGTAAACTCAGGAGATTTGTCTCCTTTTGATAAGTTGTTCAAAACTCCGTACAAGGGGTTACCGAGCCACTGAAAAGCAGTGAGGCTAAAACATCTGAGCATAACTGAAGCATTACCTCCTTCTTTGTCATTACCATTGTAGGTTATCTACTAGTCTAAGAAATCAACATATTACGTAACTAATTTCATTGGTAATCAACTCCTTTGTTCCTCCATCTACAAATACAACGAAAAGAATGATTCCGTTGGAAAAAAAAGGTTTTTTTTCGCTGCAATCTTTTTCTGTCTTTTCCTATATTCAAATATTAAGATGTCGAATTAACTGCAATAAGCTAACGGAAATGTTGTAATGATACTTGTAACTTCCTGTTGCTATACAGGATCGAATTGCTCGACGTCTGTTGTAGGCAGATAGGTTTCTATATGGATGCCTCGATGCTGCCGGATATTCATGATGTTATACTGGGAACAACATCACTCATTGGGGTGCAGGAACATCCATCTGACAAATCCCAAATAGGATGAAACGCTCATCCTGAATTCCTATGCTAGTCACCATGGATCAACTAACGGAAATGATTCGAAGTTTTGTATGAAGCATTGAGTAGATGACGCGTTACTGACATACAATTCAAGCTCAGTTCGTATATTTCAGTTTTGAAATCTTAGCACTATGTTTCATGTTTATTCAATAAGAAAGTTCACTTCATAATCCACTACACAAAGGTAAACAGTTTCCGTTCGTGGCTCGGCGGTGTAGTGGATAACGCTCTCGCATTTGAAGCGATCGCTCCCGAGTCCCAGGAGGAACAACATCACTCACTGGGAGGCAGGTACATCCAGCTGACCAGTGAGTCCCAAATAGGATGGAATGCGCATCTTGGATTCCTGATAGCCACTGTCAATCATTACTTTACATAGTTAAAAAGACAGGCAATATCGAGGCATCCGCACAGGAGCCCATATGCCAACAGAGACTGGTCAATTTGGTCCAATCAACGACGGTGTAATACAAGCAATAACACTAAACTTATACCCATCGCACAAGAAGTGGCTCGGTGGTCTAGTGGATAACGCTCTGGCGTTTGAAACGATCCCTCCCGAGTCCCGGTGAGAACAACATTACTCACTGGGAGGCAGGTACATCCAGCTGACCAGTTAGTCCCAAACAGAACGAAATGCGCATCTTTGATTCCACCGCTAATCATTACTATACATAGTTTCCATTCATCCTGATCAAGTTGTCGCTTCAAATCATCACTTCCTAATGATAAGTAAACATTGGAATTGATGTTTTCTCAGGAATCGATTAATTAGAAAATAATTTTTCGTTGTTGATTATCATCAGAAGTTAAGAAAAACATCAATGAATATTGATCAATTTTTTCTTGTTTCAATAAGTGCCATTCATTTTTACCGCGACATTACTTTTCATAAATTTGATCAATTCATACATGAAAGCCTAACGACTTTTTTGGACGATTTCCCTTCGACTAACTATGCTACTAACCTCTCCTGGTTAACTAGTTCACTAGTTACTAGCCGGTCCTAAGCCCGGGTAAAGAGGGAAGGTTGGGCATAGGGCTAGCAACCCTATCCCGTAAAACAAATCTAACCGCTAAAGAAACTTCAAAGCACAAACAAAATATAAAAAAATAATAATAACAAAATTATTCCTCACTGGAATTGGAGAGGCGAAATGACGCCAGTTGGTGAAAGCCTTCGGGAAGCCAATTGGCCGATATGTCTTCTCTCGATGAAAGCGAAAGTAAACGTGGGACATGGAATGTCCGCACCATGTTTGAACCCAGTAAGGCAGCCCAGATTGCAAACGAGATGAGAAGGTATCACATCGAAGTGCTTGGGATTTGCGAAAGCAGATGGAATGGGAGTGGACTCTCCAAACTGTCAACTGGAGAATCAATAATCTACTCCGATATTGTCAACCAGACGACAGCCACGAGCACACTGAGTTTTGGAGTGGCTATCATGATGTCCCCTTGAAGAGCATCGAAGGCTCACTCTCATGCAGTGGGAACCAATCTCCTCCTGCAGGATCAGGATCATGACAGCAAGATTCAACTCAAAAGGAAGGAAGGAAGGTCACAATCATACAACGCTATGCACCTACAAATAATGCAGAGCAAGAGAAAAAGGAGGATTTCTACAGACAACTTCAATCAATACTGGACAAGACGTCAGTTAGCGACATCAAAATTCTAATGGGTGACATGAATGCCAAACTGGGAGGGGACAACACAGGAAGGGAACTAACCATGGGTCGAGAGGCGCTAGGTGAAATGAATGAGAATGGAGAATTGTTTACAGAATTCTGTGCATTCAATGATTTGGTGATTGGAGGCAGTGTGTTCAGGCACAAGGATATCCACAAAGCGACATGGATTTCACCAGATTTTTGGACGCACTAAAAATCAAATCGACTTTATCTCAATCTCAAGAAAATGGAGACGCAGTCTACTTGACACAAGGTCAAGGAGAGGAGCAGATGTAGGTTCAGACCACTATCTAGTGCAAGGAACCTTCCAAATCAAGTTAAAAGCCTTCAAGGAAGCTGGTGATAGACCTCAATTCAAGTACAACACTCGGAAACTGCAGGACAAAACTACAAAGGAAATCTTCACGTCAACCATCAAGACAAGATGGGAGATATCGAGGAACATCCGTGAAGAAACCTGTGTGGAAGAACACTGGAAGTCTTTGAAAGAGATGTGGAAAGAAACCTGCACAACAGTATTAGGAAGGAAGAAGAGAGAAGATAAGGAATGGATCTCAATGGATACCTGGAAGCTGATAGAGGAGAGGAGGATGGTGAAGCAGAAGATAAACCAGTGCAAGGATGCACAACTAGAAGAGGAACTGAGTACAA